CACCCCGAGAAAAAAGGAAGAACGCAAGAATGTGTTTTTTTTTGCCAAGTGGCTTCCCCTGAAGCCAGGATGAGAACCCACAGGTCACAAGCCTTGATAGAAACGCATCAGAGATGAGGAGCCCAAGTGCCGACACAAGGCTCACAGAGTTTGAGTCCACATCTTCAGAGCCCGGGGTCGAGGGCTATGGGAAGTGAAGCTGTGAGACACAGACCGCACTGGCCACTGGCCTTTGCCCTCCAAGTCCACCTGGAAGCTGGGAAAAAACGAATAAGTAACGTCGACCCCAGAATAAGACTGCTTTGTTGATAAGGGGTGGTGTTCCCTCCAAAAGTGATGAATTCCAACTCAAGGAAAAGCAGGGAACTTTCCGGTCACCATCCTGTCCGCCCAAAACCAGCAAATTTACCATATGTTTCTTGCCCCACGCGGCTCCGTGCCGGCAACAAGTCTGTTACGTTCGCTGAAAAACGTTCGCTGGGACATGGCAGGGCTGCGAGAACTTCCGTGATACCAATGAAAGGCCCTCCAACTCACGAATTCTCAGATAAAAGCTTGGTTGACGTTGGAAGGGGAGCACAAATTTAAATCTTAGCAGCTAAGCGGTTGGATTGCCCACTAAACCACAATAAGCAAAAATGTAAAATGTTTCCCAACAACGACCATGAAAGGGGAGTGGTGTTCTATCACAGAAGTGGAAAGGAACCAAGCCCTCGCTCCCACAACGGGACACATCAAAGGGCTAAAAGGGCGCTTAAGGTGAATTAAGTCTGGCAATGAACCGATTGGTTTCTGTTGAACTGGTGAAGGGGGATTGCTTACCCTCCGCGCTCAAAAGGGTTCTCGCGACCATGAGATAAAGGTGGCAAATTGGGACCTCAAAGGGAGTCGCTCTGAGGAAAGGTCAGCTGTCGCAACCCCCAGCGGTTTTGGCCTAACCTGACGGAGGGATGGGATGGAGACCAATGTTCCCACGCCAAGTCCCAAATGCATCTGGGCGACGTATACATTTTAATTCGATCTCTCAACACAAACGGATCTATGAGCTGAATATTGCAAAATGCTGAAAAGTTCATGTGCTGATTCAGACCCAATGCAAAGGGTATTGTCATTGCCTAAAATTTACCCTCCCACGTCTAGAAATAAACAAAACAAAATCCAACAAACAAAATGAGCAAAAAAAAATAACATCCAAAATATAAGTAAATCAAATAGAACAACCAAATAAATAAATAAATAAATAAATAAATAACTAGAGAAGAAGATTCAGACAAAGAACCAACATATATATATATATATATACGACTTATTTCATGTCTCTCCGTGAACTCGTTCGCTCTCCTCTTTGGGGAACACATATCCACCGCCAGCCCCACTGTTCGACGGTCTGAGCCGGCGACGAAGGCCACATTGGCCGCCGGCCTTGGGTTCTCGGGTTCTTGTCGGGCCATCCACGTGAGTGGTCAAAATGACGGGTTTCCAGAAGGGGAGGGTTGGTTGCTTGATTAGTTGGTTAGTTCGTTGGATGGTTAGTTGGTTAGTTGGATTTGAGGGTACCCTTCTTGTTGGTGGCTTTAAAAGGGAATGGAGGGGCGGTTTCTACAAGAGCACACGTTGTTGTTGTTGATTTTTTTTGGGGGGGTGTCCGTTCTTTTTCTGGTGCGAGAGATGCAGGGAATGATAAATATGGAATGAGGGGGTCATTCCCCTGACAAATGTGGGCAGGTGGCTTCAATTTTGCGGCTTGCCGTTTCTCCGGGTTTCAAGTGGGTGTGGCTGTTGTTTTGGGGTACCCTTGTTTGGTGGTTTTAAAGGGATTGGGGGGGAGGGAAAGGGGGGCGGCAGACCTCTGGCACAATAGCTTCGCGATAGGCGGTGCATTGCACAGCGCGAGGATGCACAAAGCCAAACTTCGGTACCCGCAACATTCCAGGCGCCCTGCAACTAGTTTCCAGCCATCCAACACCCACATTCAACTTTCAAAGAGGCAGTTGCTGGAGCTTCCCCAACAAACGCGCTTTCAACATATCGGTGCCTCTGGCTGTTTCTGAAATTTAGGGACTTCAGTTGACTTCCTTTTGGTGTCTCTGAAAACACATCCCCCGAAAGGGAGATCCCTAATTTTGAGAAGCACTCACAACAAATGAATTTTCGGGGACTCGAGCGCCTCAAAAGTCCGAGATTCATGTCCAGACACTTAAGAATAGCCACCCTAAGGGTCCGATCTGGGCTTACGCGGAACCAAAAGAACATATTCCCCTTACCAAAAACCAATCATACAGTGCGGAATGCGGTCTCAAAACACGTGCGCCATAATTATAATCAAAAACAATGGTATCAAAATGGTTGACCCAGAACCAAGGAAAGAAGAAGGCGGATATCCGCACCGAGTTTTTTGGTTGGGACTGTCCCTTAACCTTCACTTGCCCGGGTTTTCATTGTGACTCTCTCGCCAAAATCCATCGCATCGCATCGGACCCCTAGACCGGACCCACGATCCGGTCCGGCAGTAGCTCTCGGGTCGAAAAGAAAAACAAACGATCGGCCGGAAGCCGAAATGGTTTCAGTTGTTGGTTTCCCGTTTAACCACACCCCAAGGTACCCTTAAAAACACACCCAAAATGGGTGTGGCTCAAAATGAGGCAGCTAGGGCCAAATTAAGCAGGTAGTCTTTCGTGCCATTTACCATGCCATTTTGAGGACTCCTTTTTCTGAGCCACAGCCAAATCTCGAAATTCCCAACTCGTTACCCGAATCCAGAGTCATGTGTCTTGAAGGTTGTCGAGCTAGCATTTCCCTGCAAGCAGCCTTAACCATGCAACATGGGAAAACAAGAAGCAAGCTTGAAGCCACTGTCAGAATTCCTGTTTGTTTGCTTGTGTTTGCTTCTTCTTTTTCTTTTTTTTTTTTTTTGGGGGGGGGGGCACCCTGTTTCCCCTTGTTTCAGTGGGCTTGTTAATTGTAAGAAATATGTCCCAGTATCCCAGTTGCCCCTAGAATAGGTAAGCAGACAGCCTCCTGTCATTCTTGAAGGTTGGTTCCCTTGGTTACTTATATACAGGTAAATTACTTGATTTTTATGTTTTCCGGGTATCTCGTTGTTTGGAATAAGAGAAGTAGGACGCAAAAACATGATAAGAACAAAAGTTAGCCTTTTGGGTCATGACATGTCGTAACTACACCTCAAAAAGGGAAACCGAAAGATCTAGAGGCGAGTAGTTCCCAGTACTTCTTTTGGCGTTGCGCCACTCTTGTTGGGTAAGCCTTCGCTGAATTTACCGAGCTTGGTGGTACTTCTGACGTTGACTTTGGTTACCTACTATAGTGGTAACTAACTGGAAGGGTTTGAGAAATCAACAAAGCTTGGCTATGCAGGCCAATGGATTTACTGGGTATCTAGTTGGAGTACGAGAAGTTCTTTGGGAAACCACTATCATAACAAAAAATATGGTTTCGAAGTACCCCACAACCAAGCCTTTGTTTAGGGAATCCCTAATTGTAAGAAAGGGTGTTTTAAAGGGAGGGTGGGAAGCAACAAAACTCCCTCAGACTAACAGGGAAGCTCCCAGAAGGCCGATCCTGCAAATGGAACCAAGTCGTATCAAAGGGACCTGGGAGCTTCCATGCAATCGTCTGGGCATGGGGGGTCTTTTGGCCACCTTTTCTGAGAAAATGGGCGACCCCCTTAAAAAGGAATCCTTCTCTACCAGAAGGTCGAACCATTTTCCACCAAAAGCGGCAAAAAGACCCCCCTGAGTGGGGACCATTCCGGAGCTGATCCCAGTGACGAACCTTCCCTTCAGCCGGGCCGAGTCGCGGGTTGCGGCAGCTCAGCGGATCCCAGCTAAGTTCAACTTGCCCTCTGGGAGCTACGAACGTGTGACCCCAGGTTTGCTTCAAAGACTTCCGGGGTGATATATGGGCTGTCCTCAGATGATCCCCCGCTAAACGTTTAACTTTTACAAAGCTAAAAAGCGAAGGAGCTGGCTGGGAGCCACCAAGATATATCATGCTTGTTCAAAGTACTTTTCTGAAACTCAATGGTGTTTCCCCGCCTCCATTTTCCGGCTGGAATCCTCCAGACATGGAAAACCAAGTCGTTGGGTGTCAAGAAGCCTTCAAATCTCCGGAAGTTTCTCTTCCCTGGTGCCATCTACCGCATACTTGGGCCCACTGGCCGGCTAAGGGGTGGTTTCTTTTACTCACTTCCTGAGTGGATCCCCCAAAAAAGTCCACACTTTGTGTTTTCCACTCAAATGGTCTTCCCGAAAAGTCACTAAGATCCTGCAAACCAATCCTCCGATTTGTCATGGAGCCATCCACGGCTTTTTGTCTGTGAGCCAACGGCACAAGGAGCGACGGATGGCCGGCCGGGCGCAGGTTTTTTGCAACGCGCCTCCCATAGCTTGGGCCAACAACTACTTGGTGTTGGTCACAACCTTACGAGGACATAAACCAGCTGGGATTTCTACTGGAAACTGGATCCTACCGACCCAAAACAAGGATTTCCTCTAGAACTTCCGGTGGCTGGTTTCTACGCAAAATCTTCGAGCCTTGAGGTCCGGGGGGGAGTATTTGCCGCAAGAACATATTCCTCCTCTTGGTTTTGCGAAGTGCCAAATGTTGCCCTGCCTCACATCAACTCCTCCCTCGTGGCCGACCACTCCCCGACGCAGTAAAGGAGAGCCAGGAAACAAACTACCATCATCACTGGGCCGGGCATCCCCAGAAACTATACCTCATCCAAATTGAAACCTCTCTCATTCGCAGGATTTCAATTTATTAATGCTCACATCCCCCTTTCTTAGCTGCATGGTCGAAATGGCCATAATTACTGGATTCCCTTCCAAGGTCCAAACGTGCCCTACCCCCCCCCCCCTCCCTCGAACAAATAATAATCAACAAATGTCACGTTCCCGCCTGCCACGTCCGCCGCAAGTCACGGCCATTGCAACGAATCCCCCAACACGCGCTTCCCACACGACGCTTTCTCCACGCTCCTCTTCCAAGGAGGCGACACCCGGGGCAAACGCAGCCTGGCTCGCAGCGTGCTTCAAGTCACACACACACACACAAACACATGTGTGGATGTGTGCGCGTGTGGAAGTGTGGGTGTCTGGATGTGTGGTGGGTCTGCGTGTGTGCGGGTGCTCGTGGAGGTGTCGTGCAAATCGGGGGACCCTGCCTTTGGTTTGCATGAACTGGGTGCCGAATAGGGGCTGGAAACAAAACAACAACCATCCATTCCTTTTTGGCTTTGAAAAAACTCAAACAACAGGCGTTGCGTCCGGGAACGTGTCCTTTGACCAAGAGAATGGGATATGAATGTGGACCTCCGTTCATGGTGAGGATGGCGCTGCAAGAGACGGCAAATGTTGGCAGCTGAAAGCTTGGCCCATAGAGGGCGCTTGGATGTTCCTCCTAAGTCTGGGTCCAGTAAGGAGACATCCGCAACAAATCCCTCCAAATGGGTGTTTAAGGGGACCCCACTCCCCTCAAACAAACACAACGCAAGCCCAAACCTACCAATATTTACTGTCAGGCAAGTGAGACAACGGGGGTTGGCCGACCTATCACCGTGACCGCAAACTACTTACATCCAGGTGATCTTGTATTGGCAGTGCTGGGTGTCCATGTGTTTTATGCTTGGGCACACCATTCAGCACATCCGGAAGCTGTGTCGCTTCTGACTGCCTAAAGTCTGTGACCCCTGTTGAGGGCTCGTCGTTGGAGCAAGGATACTTTTTAACCGGTTCAGTCTCTGTGGTGGGTAAATGTACCATATGGGTGTGGCTCAAAACTAAACAGGAGGGGTTACGCAGGGTTTGGTCCATGTTTACAGTCAGGGTTCCATTTTAATACCGGTTTTTTGAGCCACAGCCATATAGGTAGTGCAGGTAATGTGCGCCGAGGATGAATCAAGCAGTTCTGCTCATAGCGGGTTTTTCCCCGCAAACTGGTCTGAATCCCCAGAGACAAAGGGGGAACCCAGCTACAAATCAACCAGAGGTTCTACTTAGATCCGGGGTTCCCGTGAAACACCCTTCACATCATAAAAGAACAAGATTCCACCCGCGCAGGGCGACCTCCTTTCAAATATGCCTTTTGTTTGTTTACTTGCATTTCTATTTTCTATGTCTTTCTTTGGTTCTTGTTTCTTTTAACAAAAAGTTGATTGTTTTTTTCATCTGCATTTCTTTTGTTTTGTAGTTCATCGGAATCCACTGGCTTTACAAGCCCCATCCGCTGGCCCGAACTCGGGGCTGCGAAAACTGGTCCACAGAGCCCCAGGCTCATTGCCAAGGGGGCTGTACCTTTTTGGAGGCTCGGCGCCTGTCTGGCTGTACATCGGAAAAGGAAAATCGGAAAGGAAAATCCGGCGGTACATTTTGGAGAGGAAATTTTCGGGAAAAGAGGAAAACCGTAATGGCTGTCTGAGAGGAAAGTTTCGGAAAACCAAAAGGATAACCACATTTGTTGCAATGCTGAAACACCGAAGCGAAGTGCCTTATATTCATGGTTTTGGGCTTGGTTCAAGGGAAGTCGTCAAAAGATTCCTCAACTACACGAATTATGAGGCACCATCCTACAGATTAGCGGAAGGAAGCAACAAGAACACACCCGTTTGTAGAAAACGGAACCTTCTTTGGAGATTTCGACCATGTCCGTTTCTTGGGTTCTGTCCGTTAAATTGTAGAGGAGCACTTGGTTGTGTCTCTTTTTACAAAATCTCCAAACATGGCCAAACGGTCTTCCTCGTGGTTTCCTGTTACCAAAAAAGGCTACCCTCAAAAGTTGGATACCCGCTTGGGCGCCTCGGGATCAAGAATCCTAGATACCTTCAAGACAGGTTTATCGCTCCATTCGGACCCCGCATGATCTGAAAACACCCACTGGGGTGTCCCAATTCCGACGGACAAATCACCCGGAAGTCTACCTGGACCCGAAGAAACTGCCCGTTGAATGGGAAAACAAACCCAAACTTATGGGGTGTCCCATTCTATGGCAGTTCGAGGGTCCACCTTCATCCAATCAAAATCCAGTGGCTGAAATCGAAATCCGCTTGTAGTACCAAGAAATGAGATGCTTGAAACCATAACGTTTATCTACGGGGGAATTGACCCATCCGTTGGGTTTCTTAGGTGGTGCGAGAAGCGGATTTCGCACCCCCACCTTCACGCTGGGCGTGGCATCGACGGCTGCCTGGGAAGATACCCCGAGCCGGAGCCGAAACCACCTGCCCCTACCTCAAGGGACAGGGTACCTCAGGCAAGTGGTCCCCCCCCTCAGAACAGTCAAAGCAGTGCTTGGATGACCTAAGTATGGCTTTAGTATTGCGAATACTTAGTTTAGTCTTGCCAGCCCTTCCTTTTGGATTGTCAGTACTTAGTTCAGTATTGCCTAGGCTTAATTGAGTATTGCCAGGACTTACTCTCAGATGTCCAGTGCTTAGTTCAGTATTGCCTAATCTAAATTCAGTATTGTCACTACTTCCTCTCAGATTCCCAGTGCTTAGTTTAGTGCCAGATTTGACCCACCCCAAAAAAGCTTTGAGACTAAAGACGACCCCCAAAGAGTCAGGCTCCCGTGGGCACCCCCCTTTGTGCCACTGCTTAGGATTTGTTTGTTGTTGTGTACGTATTTAAACATATATACATATAAATATATATATATATATATCCTAAGTTTGATGGTTTCGGAACTGCTTTCAAAATTGATGGTCCTAGATCTAAGCACTTGAGCCTTTGAGCTGCGAAGGACTTAGAGACTTAGAAAAATCACCCTTTTAACTTGGTTGACGTTGGAAGGGGAGCAAAAACATATTTTTTAGCAGTTAAGTGGTTGGATTTCAACCACTAAACCACAATAAGCAAACATGTAAGCTGTTTCCCAACAGCAACCATGTAAACATAAAAAGGCCAAGGCTTCGATACGTGTTTTCTCTTTGCCCGATTTAGTTTTGACTAGTGGCCCTGAGCCAGAAAGCTGAGAGGAGAAATCAGTCGCCCATATGCATGTTGCTCAGATTGTTGAGAACGGGACTAGGTCCTCCAGTAGAGAGGCTAGAATAAGGGTACCAACTTTTTGCTATAGTCTATTTCAGTAGGGGAACCCTCCCCCAAAACAGAAACGGGTGAGAAAGGGCACCTAGATGGGGGACCTAGGGGAAAACTTGGGGTTTAAACTTTGACCCCCAAAACCGTGGCGAATGGATCGATTGTGTTGTTTTTTGCCGAGGAAACGGGTCCAGATATTGACCAGGCGCGACATCAAGTGACCATGGCCACTATTTTATGTACGATCGCGACTGCAGGTACTTGCTCCCAGATTGCAGATACACAGGGAACCCACGGAATTCCCCAAAGAACATGCTTAGGAAAGATCAAAACCAAAGAGACTTAGGGGTGGAGCTTGTTCATTGCGATGCAAGGCACAACCGGGCGCATGCTATGTATGTCATAAGCAAAACATTTCTGTATGTATGTATCTTTGTCCTCAGGACGGTTCCCTTGGCAGGACCGCTTAAACAAAACGGTTAAAGACTTCACAAGCACTGAGTCAACATACGTGTTTCCGGTTGATGTGTGCCTGGGACATACCGCGTGGTCAAAACTCCTACAGATCCTTACCATATCCTTACGATGTCCATATTAATAAACCCCTGTATATCGATTTGGGGGGGGTCCCTGGGATTAGTGAGAAATTGGAGGGGCCAAAAACCACCCCTCTATTAATAATGGGGGGTAGATAATACTGTGGATGGACGACATCCATTTCGCACCACCTAAGAAACCCTGGTTTCTGATGATTCCCCTTTAAATACCATGCAACAATGGTTTCAACCATGGCTTCAAAGTGGTGCAGGATTTCGTCCACCCACAGTATGGGGTCAAGATTACCTAGGTCCTCCAGTAGCAAGGTCAGAATAAGGGTACCAACTTTTTGCTCCCCCCAAAAAAAGAAACGGGTGAGAAAGGGCACGTGCACCATTGCCAACCAGCTGAATTCCTGCGCCCCAAGCCGGGGCTACGCTGGCAGCTGCTCGCAAGGCTTCCTGGGAAAGTCTGGCCACTGATTTTGCTCCCTGATGGCTGAAATCGAAATCTACTTCGCACGACACGAAACAGGGCTGCGGAAAATGGAATCCACTTCTGTGATGCAACAGAAAGGGCCTCCCAAAGACAAACCCCCGAATATAAAGGGGAAGATTCCAACTTGTGTCACAGAAGTGGTTGGATAAACCCCTTTGATCCCACAACCCTGACATGAAACCAAAACCATAACAGTTCTTGGCATCAGCAAACTCGAAACATTCCGTAGGGTTTCGTAGGCGGTGCGAAATCGATGTCGTCCGTGCATAGTGTGTTGTACTCTTTGAAATACACCCCAAAAGGAAAACAGGCAAATGATAGGGAACTCTGTGTTGATTGCTTCCCCAGCTGATGTGGGAATTGAATGAGCAACCCCTATTCGCAAATGGCATTGTGAGTGTGCTCCGTCTCAGCCCCTTTACAACAGCAAATGACAGTAAATCTTGACCGTGGCTCCTATTCTGATTCAAAGCCTGAACAGTCACCGGCGCCGAATAGTGACTGTGATTCACAGTAACTAATTGTGTGTATTTGTATCTTTTTTAGAGGACCCTCCAACATGGTGACCTTTCCTTGTGGTGTCCCTTTAAACCCAACCCCAAAACGGGTACCGAGCCTCAAACAAAGGCGCATTCCCATTTAAACGGGGGGGAGGTCTTTCAGGGCCTTGAACCTTCCCAAAACGCGAGGCTGTTCGCAGAGGCACAAAACCCTCGGCGGTTCGCAGCAGTTCGTTCCTGTCGCAAGCCCGTAGTAGGTATCTATAAATCTCTTTTTGGTCCAAGTTGAGTTGAACTTTGCTGCTTAAAATCTGAAATAAAGAAATGGAAACCCGCCTGCCCTGGCACCATTTTTAGACGACAAGCTGAGGACACGTTTTGCTTAAGAAGGGACACCCACGGTTTTGCAGAAAGGCGGACCCCGCCCTTCCGGCCCTGGAGACGATGGATCAGTACTTATACAAATGGGGGTTGATCAAAAGGCCCGATGTACATGGGATGACTATTGGTTGGGAAAACCGCTTAAGAGATGTGATATGTCCCGCATGGGAGAAGTTACGCATGGTCATCTGAAGGCCGGGAATATATTATAATATAGATGAACCCCAAATACTTCCCTACAAACTTTCACCGGAGGAACGTCCGATTTCCCTCAAGGGAGTTTTCTGGTGTGTTTTTCTTTCGTTCATCTTCAAAATCCATGAGTTTTGCGACCCCTAAACCACTTCTCTGTGTAATACTAGGAAGCCTGGGTCCTCCAGAAGCCAGCCCCGATCGGATTCTTTGGGTAGTCCAAACATCTTTCTGGACGCACAAGGTGGGTGAAAGGCAGGATTCGGTGACCCCCCACCTTCTCCTGATCTGCTTCCTCTTCATCGCCCTCCGCCACGATGGGGTCTACCTCCGGCCACTTGCTAGGGTGTCGGGTACATCAGGTTCTACGATGTGAGTGTCTAGTGTTTAGTAACTCAATTCCGATCCAGTCGATTGGCCAGAAAAAGTGATGGAACTTGCAATTTATATACCGCTAAAATTATGTTCTCCCAAAAAGTATGAAGTCCGTAAACTCACCCAGTGCTTCCAGTAACCAGTTGAACTTACCCCTTGGTGTCACTTCCGATGGTTTTCCTCTGGTTGCCTACCATAGTGGGAGCTGGAAGCAATAGGTCAAGGATGTAACCCTTGGCAAGCACCGCATTTGGGAGCCGCTGATTCAGAAAGCCCTGGACTTTCATTCGTCAGTGTTTCGGCTGTCCCGAGTCCACTGGGTCAACTGATCCGGGCTCGACATCACGGTTGTAAGAACCCGTGGGATTGTAGCCATGGTGTTCCTTTGCTAACCTCACACCAAAAACGCAAAAATATCCATGTGCCGGTCCTGGGTTGTGAACTTGCAGAAGGCGCCACAGTAGAAGATCCTCAGCTTTCTGCGAGTTCGTTCGCTGCGCGGTCACCAAACTTTAGATCTTGGGTCATGAACATGTACCTATAGGGTGTTGCCTCAAAGAACCGCAAGCATCCAGGGCCAACTAAAGTGGCATCCTCAAGATCGGCCTCAAGATTAGGAGAGGCAGGCCATTGGCTTCTGCTTTTCGCTTGGACCCCCTGAGGGTCCAACTGTGTACCAAATTCTGGGTGTCAGGTGAATCCTTCCGTTTGCCTGCTTCCCTCGCTTTGGGATCTGGTTTTGAGGATACCTCTTTGTGTAAATGCAAAAGAGAAAGCTACCATTTGGGGCCTAAAAACACAGGCGCACACACACACACACACACCCATCTCCTCTCGGTTTCCTGAAACAGATCAGCAGCCCAGAGCGCCGATACTCATAGCACATCCTCCATCCCGCACCCCACCAGTGTAAACTGCTCGACCGCAAATTGGCAATTTTGAGAGCCCCTGCCCGAGTTTTGCAAATGGGAGTCTTTGTTGGGTCCCCTCCAAAAATGTGGTTTCCTTTTGGTGTCCCTGTTAAACCACCAAACACTGGGTACCCTCACAACAGACACGCCCAAATGGATCATAGGCGAATCGGGATTTGACAACAAACCTGTGAAGCCGAGGCTCCGGATAAGGAACAGGCAATCACGACATGTGGAAGCTGACAAGAAGGCTTCAAACTACTTTCCGTTTCTCCACAGTTGGCGATCGAAAATCATGTTTCAACATTTCGCCGACCCCAAAATCTGGAAAAATCCTACCCACGTACCTGGAGGAATCCCGCCCGGTCCTGACTCCCGACTCCCGACTCCCGACTCCCGGCTCCGAGCGGCTGGTTGCTGAGGCAGGCCCAGGCCAAGGTGAAGAAGAGGACGAGGTGCAGAAGCCCTCCGAACCTCGCAACGCACCAAGGGTTGCGGGAAATGGAATCCACGAGTCTCTGATACAACAAAAAGGGCCAGCCCCAAAGACTAACACCCCCAAAAAAGGGGAAGATTCCAACTTGTATCACAGAAGTGGTTGGAGAAACCCCGAGTGATTCCACAACGCACCAAGCTAAATCACAGCTCGGGAGCCAACAAAAACCGGTTCCTCTGGGGGCACGCAGCTCAGCTGGGTCCTTTAGTAGAGAGGTGTACCGTTTCTTTTTGCTGGACGTCGACTAACCTTTTATTGAGTCGGTACCCTTGTTGTCAGTTTGTTGTAAGAGGACGCCAAAAGGAAAACCGAAAACCGGTTTGGCGGCCCAATTGCTGAAAAAGACGCGCTTACTTGGTCCATGGTTGTTAAGGGTCCCCCCCCAAAGAAACATCCCCCACGAGAGGGTTACTCTTGGGTGCCTTTCTTGGGGGGGATCCCCCTGTGATCTGAGAATTTCTATGGACAACGTGGCAACGCGCATCTAACTTTCCAAAACCAAATACAAATCATCGAGACTGGCCATGGCCCTTCGATTTGAAACCAAACCAACCCCCCCTTAAAAGGGAGACCACCACCATCTGGTCCCGCGTAAAATCCCATGTGTGTGTGTGTCTTCTTTTTGGAGGTACTCTTTTGTTGTGGCTTTAAAGGAGATCCCCGACACACCCTTGTGGAAATGTATAAATCACCCGAGGTTGACCTTGCAAAGCACACCACTTGAGCAACGCCCGCTTAGCTACACAAAACACATGAGGAGCGTTGAACACCTGTTGACACACAAACACAACACACACACACACACAAAAAGGAAGTCAAGGGAGATCAAAGCCGATCCAATGCCTTCTTTCTGCGCGCCTCGGATCCATTAATGTGCGGCCAGCTGTGTGGCCTTCCTCTCATCCTGGCAGCGGCCCCTCTGGTACTTGTAGCAGTAACGCTTCTGGTCAGTGCGAGCCTTAGTCCTCCTCGGGTTCAGGGCCTCATGAGAAGCCCAAACTACCTGTGCCTTCGGAAACCTCTCCGACAACTTCTGCCAGCGCTTGTTGGCCTCATCCTGCAGGCGCGAATCGGCCCACAAACGGGCTACAACCTTCACGTCCCGCAAAACCGTCAAGTCCGACAGGTCTGATGACTGCACACCACTCGTAGATGCCAATTGGTCTACAGCGGTCGAGACATGAAATGGCCTTATTCTACAAGTCCCATGGAACTAGGTAGTCGTAGAGGCCGCTACGAAAGTGACGAATGGGGGGTGCGGGGCTCTGCGCATACAATGGTGAGTGCCCAAACTGTCCGACAGATTTGAAAGGGGAACAGTCAGAAACACAATGATCATGCATCGGCCCCTTCTTGCAACACTGACGCATCTCCGAGCAAGAGTCTAAAGCCTTGGCTTTATCAAGTGGAACCACACCATGTTGACAATGCCAAACATTCGTAAGTGAACTGCTTGGACTGGGCAAGCAGCTAGTAGCTATCTGGGTGAAATGAACATTCTCGTGGGGCATACGAGAGCAAAGCAACACTGGTCCTGAGTTTGTCCGGCTCAAGCTTGCTTTTATACTTTAAAGCAGATTGGAACTTGACGGACACCAATTGTGACACGAAAAAGGAAACCAAAGGGGGATCCGATTCCTACAAAACGACACACCCGTACAGCTCAACAGCAAAATATAGAAAAAGGGGCCTGAGAAGGGGCGGTTGCTTTTTAGTTGGATTGCAACCCCCCCCCCCCGGTTTTTGGACAATCCAACCAAAAAGCAACTGAGTCTTTGGGAAAGGGTTTTTACCGGAAAACCCTCAAGATTGCACCCCCCCTTTTTGGCGGAAAATCCTCAAGATTGTTTTTAGTTGGTTTTTAGACTACTAGTTGTTGTTTTTTTGCAAAGTTTACTAGTTGGATTGCAACTGTTGACCCCCCTGCAAAAAGTTTAACTTTTTGGGGGTTTAGTGGAAAACACCATTATTTTCCAAAAAGTTAAAGTCTAAAGATCCAACCCAATAGCAGTCGAGGTTGGAAAATCCCCACCACACCCCGCCGGAAAATCCAAAACCAAACGCTCCAACGCCTGAGCTTCCGGGCGTCCATGCCGCCGCCCAGCCGCACCCGAACGCCACGATCTCCACCTGCCGATTTCGATTTCGAGCGAAGCGGAGACCGAAGGCTCCCAGCCGAAGTCTCTGAATTTGTGGTGGTTTTCGGTGGATGGACGAAAAAACATGCACCCAAAACACCCTGGTTTCGGAGGATTCCCCTGCAAATACCAACAAATAATGATTTCAACCATGGTTTCATTTCGTGGTGCGAAATGGATTTGGTCCATCCACAGTAGGAAGGGAATGCTCCCAACCAGTTTCTGACTTTGACTGCAGTCGAAATCGGGTTGCTCCCAACACCAGAAGGCCCGTCCATTGAAAAGCCAACTCGCAAGGGAAGCCACAACCCAGTTATAAGTTATAACCATTAGTCCCGGTGCTTTCAGGCAATTCGTGAACATACCATGGCGAAGACTATGGATCCGCGTTGGGAGGGAGGGGATGGTAGTCTTGTGATCAAACACCAAGGTTGCTTTTCAAAGGCTCTTGCGGCACATGGAGTTACCACCAAAAAAACACGAAGACACTTTGAGAAGACCTGTTTACTTTGCAATCTGCTCCTGCATCCCATGATTCAGCGGGGTAGCCGAGCAGGGGAGCTCCTGCCGGCACTCAAAACGCAAATCTCGGCGTGGATCGCCCGCGACGCTTGGGAGGTGCTCCTTACTGGGCAAACTGTAAAAAAATCACAACTGGAAGGCATCCTCCGCAAAGAAAATAACACCTCCATATTTAACAAGAACTCAGGCCCATGATCATGATTTGCCCAGAGAGGATGGTCGTCTTCCAATCAGAGGTGCCCTTTTGACAAAGCAACTGACCGTAGATGAGCAAACCAATGTCTACCAGGGCCCTTTATCTCTTTTAAAAAGAAATGAACAGAAAGGACACCTATGCTTCCAATCCTGCCCGCTATGATTCCAAAGATGCCCTGGTTGGGTTCCAGCTGCCCCGTTCAGGCCCATGACGGCCGTCACATATCATGGCTGTTCACTGGTTGTCCTTGAAGGCAGGCTTTTTCTTGGGATCCAAACTCTTGTCTCACTTTGCCCAAAAAAAAAGGAAATCACTGGTTAAGCTTTTGGGCCCTGACTATAAATGCACCAAAAAAGTAAAAGGGGAACCAAAAGGTCAAAAGGTCGATTCGCTGTGGGCAACTGAGTTGCTGTTCAGGTGAAGAAGACCCAGAGGGAAACAAACAGCAAGGTCAGCGGAGTCTTTTAACGTTCTTCTCCCTTCCTGTGTGAATTGAACAAAAGTCCAACAAAATTACAAAATTAAGCCACCAGGGAGTACTCCGCCGCTTTTCGTCCTTTCCATGTTCCAGGTCCACCCATTTCTAGGTCCTCCAGTAGAGAGGGTAGAACTTTTGGGTACCCACTTTTTTCTGGACGTCTATTTTAGACACGGGGCTTCCTCCCAACCAACAAACAGGTGAGAAACCCAGGGCATGACTGGCGGGTCCACGGCCCGGTTCTTCACCTCCGACCAATTCAATGAGTCGCGCCCATATTCTGCGCCTCCCAGGCGGGGCAACTCTGCCTGCGCGCGGCGGCTGAGCTCCGCAGGTCCCCGCCGGGTTTGGTAAGGACTTTAACTTCACAAGGAGGTAAACACTTACCGAAAAACAAACAAAAAAAGAAACAACATGTGTTTTTTGTTTTTTAATAAAAAAAAAAACGGTTTTTCAACATAACACAAATAGAGAGAGTATTTGGAGTAGGGGGTTGGTTTGATGGAAAAGCAACAACATGTGCCCAACAGGTCCTAGAAGGGGCGACTCGTTCAGAACAACCCGCTATTCACAAGACTCGTGAAGTTAACCTGCTGGGAAATAAAGTGCTCTTCACCAATTCGCTCCCCCCCAAATGTCAATGGCCCATCCCCGTCATGCCCCCAACTATCAGACACACACTTCTGTTGGGGTGAATTTCACCGCTTGAAGGGATAGGGGCGGTGCAGAAGAGGGGAGATGTGCTTCTACCCCGAAAGCTGGCGCAGCAGTCGCCTTGGTTGAAAAAAGGGTAGGTTAAGGTCCAGAAAAGCACTTAAACAAGTCTTGCGGCAAAGGGACAATGGGTTGCCAATGAACTTTCCCGGGGCTATCGCTGCATGAACGCTGTCTATTTCGCAACATCCTTCTTTAGTGTGTTGGTTTTCAGGGTTGAGTGCTGTAAAGTCTCAGGGTATGGTGCTGCGTAGCCTGAACGCCCATCCCACTTCCCTCATCGCCATGTCTTAAGAGCGAGTGGATTTCGAGAGATTTGCAGCAGGCTTCCACTTCGAATCGGGGTCTCCTCGACTTACGTTCAGCAGGTGCAGCACTTGCGAATGTTTCCGGACCAGAAGTCTCTACGTGGTTTGTGATTCCTTGCCAAACGGAGGAGGCCGTCAAAGCCCCAAACTACCAATCCAAGCCTTCCCCTTTTCCTCGAACCCAAGGCAGCATTCTTGTGTAAGCAAAAACATGACATTCAGTGTCAAAGGCCCGAACAAAATACTCTCCCCGGAAACAATTGCTCTGTCTGCGAGGTGACCATGGCACACGTGACAAAACAAAAACAAAACAAAAAAGGCTTTGCGGCCAATGTTCGATACTCCCTCAGGGTTACCAGGGGCAGTCGTGTTTTTTTCTTTTTAAATCCGGGGGTACTCTACAAATAAATGGAAGGAACCCACCAAAGGGCCCCGATTGCCAAAAGGAGATTCCATGGCTGGGCTTCTGGGGTTCGTAGAGCCAATGTCTCAACCAAGCTGTTGTCCCCAGGAAAATCCCGGCTCAAGTCTTCGTTTCAGAAAATGAAACCGGCCTTGTGATCCAACCCCAAAACGTAATTCATGGGGAAAATTGCTATTCCCTACAGGGGGCGCGATAAAAAGATTACCCCAAGGGTCCTGATAAAAAAAGAAATGTTCATGGGGGCTCCAAAATGACGTATGTGTTGAGACCCCAAAGAAGCAACTCTTGGTGCCCACCGATCGGAACCTTAGGGTAGAACTTCAATAAGAGACAAAATGACCCAGCCACAACACGAGGTTCGCAGGGTTGCCCTGGTCCCGGAAAATTTGGGTGTCCCCCCCTGTCTTTAAAACAACAGTAGACTACCGTCTCAATCCGGTACTCTCACTTCCTGAGAGGCAAAACTGACGTTTTGTTTACCACCAAAATCGTCCCAGAAAGCAAACAGTCCAGAGACTTGGGAAATCTCACATCCAGCCATCGCGCCACGCCTGTTGCCCCTGCTGTCGGAGAGGCTGGGCACGCCGTGCCTAGCACAGGGCCCGAATGGGAAATGGGTAAGCCAGTTTCTGTGGACAACGCCTTTCGGTTGAGTCGAAATTAAGGGAAACCACAGCTGACTGGGCCAAAACCCGTAAAAAATGATGCTCGCTGCGATGAGTTGAGTATTCCCCAAAAGTTGGCCCGGACAAAAAGGTAAATCGCCAGTTTGGGGATCCACCAACTCAAGACAAAGCCAAATTGAGGAATCAAATAAAACCGGAGTCCACTGAAAAATTATGCACATGGTCTGTGAGCGCCACAGGTAGACCATAGGCGCTAGGGCAGCATCACCCGGCCGCTTCCTTCTCGTGATACATCAGCTACAGAGTTTTCGTCCTTGAATGCCAGCTGCCAAGGTAGAACTGTCCGCTTTGTCACGCGCAGCACACCACGTGAGAAGGCTTCTCTCTTTGGCGCGCAGCAAACTCCTGAGACCGCTGCTTGTTCCCGGCATACTTCACGTCGTTGTTTGCCACTATGGGCGGGGCGTCCAGAAACTTGCGCGAGAAGCGTTCGTCCTCTGGACTTGTGGCTACTAGAGCTCCGCGTTTCCGCTCCGTCTTGCAAGCGTCGCATTCTTTCTCGCACCACAAAGGTCACTGGTGCCTTCCCAAGCTGTGCGGCGACCCTAGCAGAAAAGGGCAACCCTTTTTTGATCATTTCTAGAGGGGTGCCATCAGCAAAAGGGGCAAAGCTGCGCCCTTTCTCCAGTTTGACTTGGGCCCCGCAACGACCCACTGGCCCAGACCTGGAAACAACAGATTCCAGCCCCCCCACCCCTTCCAAGGTGAGTCAGAATTTAAACCAGGCATTGAAAGGGGCTACATGTAAAGAATCAAAAAAGGCGGCAAAGGCACTCATTTCTGGCTGGGATTGTCCCACCCTCCACTTACCTGGGTGTTGATTGTGACTGAGGTGGAATCCACAGGGTTCATTTGAGAGGAACACCGTCAGGCAACTGCAGACTTCATAGCGATGTGGGAGGAAGAGCAACTGGTCGAATCCGTCGTTTCGCTAAGAGGAGGGCGTTGTGCTTTTTGATGCCCCGAAAATCGGAGTGGTGTTCCCGCAGAACACACAGGGAACAACAAGTTTTGAACCCCAGGCCTAGTTAGGCCCATAAGTGGAAAAAAACGAAAACAGGGTACCCCAAACAAGAATAGCCATCTTTTGACTAACTGAGCAAACCTCTGCAAATCGAAGTTCAACATGCTCCTTGCCTCCTCTAGAATCCAGCAACCTCAAAGGTCAAATGTCCTTCTTGGCGCTTTCCTTTTTTAATTCCCTTTAACCCAAACAGAAAAAAGGTACCTGGACCCTCGCAATGCCCAAGCAATCGGATATTGTCTGAAAAATCTGGGTCCAGAGACCATTAAAAAAACCAACACTCACGCAGTTAAAGACATAGCCACTTCAGTGCAGTCGAGGCCAACGGCTTGGTGCTGAGCCCAGGACAGCTTGAAGCCCTGCTCGATGAGCAGGCCGTGGTATGCCGCGCCAGAGTCTTGGCCACCTCGTGGACTTTTGGCATTTGGCACGAAACAATAATGTTGACCCCATATTAATCAACCCCAGTTTATCAATACGGGCGTGCTTCTCCCTGGGTGAAATGTGGGGAATCAGGTGACTTTTGGAGGGCCAAGAACCACCCCCTATTAATAAACTGAGTTCATTAAATATGGGGTCAATATTATGTGAGCGGTGCTCCAAATGTCCTGCTCAAATCTAGGTCGCACGGAAATCTTATGCAAAGGTGCTGCTGAGGTGCTTACGCGAGCTTACTCCAGAACAGGGGTAGCTATGGGGAGCTTGCCCGATCAGCCATGCCACTTGCACTTGCACAATAAACTTGCGCGTCCTTACGCCGCCACATGTTTGCCTTACGCAGAGGGCCCTTTTGGCCACCCCCCTTCATTCGCAATGCAACGTGGTTTTGAACCCCGCTCAAATGTGGGTGTGGGTGTTTTCTGTTTGCTTTGTTTTCTGAGGGCAGCCTTTTCGGGTTGCGTTTAAGGGGAAACCAAAAGGAGCACATGTTGTTGGGGGTCCCCCATGGTGACACACACCCGTGCGACGGGACCTCCCAAACAAGGCGGCTACGTTTACAACTCCTGTCAATAAACATATCATATAACTCTTCAGGGATCCTTTCATTCTACACCTGAACATTGCCTTGTAAATGGTGGTTTCCCTTTATTTTGGTTGAAAAAGCAACATGTTTCAAGTGGGCAAAATGGAGATCATTTAAGGAGCCCTGCTCTTGGACTAGTGCTCTTGGCCACCTCCAGGGGAAAAAGCATGGTCGCTTGGCGGTTCTTCTCGCGGCTTGCCCAGGATGGCGGTGGTTTCCGCCAGGCCCTCAGCTCCATGTCGCACGAGCCATGTCCACCGGCGCGTTCCAAAGTGATTGGACCGTGGTCGGGCATCGGCAGCACGCAAAGAAGGCACTTAAAAAAAAGATTTCGGCTCCTTGGCACGCGCACGTGCACACCACACACTGCAGTAAGGCTCTGCTCGCTTGTCAGACCAAGCTGTCGACTCCACTCGCTTTCTTTTGGCAATGTCTCCTCCATTGTGGCAGCCAAGGAGTCGACCGTTCAAAACTTGGCAGGCCGTGCCTTTCAGGCAGCTGGTTCACCTCCATGGTTCGTAGATCCACTCGCTAGGAGCAGTGTTGGAACCTCTTTTCCCGGCCACAAGCGAAGCATGGCCTCTAAAAGCACCCCCTCATTAAAACCAATCAAGCGTTTATACGTCTACCTGGGTGGTTTCTATCTGAGACGGCTTCCGTCGCCACCCAAAGGACGCATGGGATATACAGCTGTGCATAGAATAAGGCTTCCGTAAAGGGGCATGAATGTTTCATTGGGGACTATCTGGTGGACATCATGTAGGGTGGGGATTTACGTCCTTGGGAGCGCGTTCCGCTCAAGGCCGCACACCTCTGCACGCATCCATCGTCGACGCGTTTTTCACGGGGCGCCGGGCCGATGATGGACAGCGTGAGCAGCGAGGTGTTCAAATTGGGCGCCCTAGCCAGGAAGTCAAAACCGTTTTGGATTTTCGTGGGAGATCGGGATGTCCACTGAGGGCACGGGATTTTGACCCATGGCCATGTGGAAACCTCAGCCGCAGCCAGCCACATACCTCGCAAGGGTCCGATCGGGGCTTGCTGAACCCGGGCCTCCGAAGCCGGACCACACCAGAGTAGCTTTAGGAGTCTCGAACCCCAAACATCCATCGGGTAACTCGGTAACCGCTCGGTAACCACCCCATAATTTTCACCAGTAGGTTTCATCAAACGCCGAAGGGAAGCACTGGGGCCAGCCCACCTCGGCACCTCCGCCGGGATGCCCGGAGAGCATTGCCTTACCCGTGTGGACACCACCTCGGCCGATCTGCGGCCGTTGGGCGAATTTGGGGCGCCCCACTTCGCGGATCAATTCAGCACTTCGCTTCAACTCAAGCAATGTATATATATATATATGTCAATAACCAACTACTTATAACACGCTTACCTGCGTTCGGGCCCTAAGTTGGTTGCCACGGATACCAAGTACTATTACCTGACGTACTCTGCCACTAGTCCACAAAGGAATCGGGCTCTTCCCCAGAGAAAAGCCGCAGTGGTGCCCTAGGACACTTGAACATCAGCTGAACCGAGATGTCATCAGTTTCTTCAAGGCCCTTAACAAAGCACTCTCTAGGTCCTCCAGATTTGAGAGGTTAAAATAAGGGTACCAACTTGTTTCGGTAGTCTATTTTAGTACGGGAACCCAAAACCCCGAAAAAGGGTCAAAGGGCACAACTGGGGGACCTAGCTCTGAATAGGGAATGTTGTTCCCCAACGGCTACCCAAATAAGCTGTGGGGTGGTTTGGGGCAGCTTTACCGACTCCCAAAGAATCGTGACAAAACAGCCACGGCTTGCCGACGCCAAGTGTAGGAAACCATATCCAGGCAACAAACCAAGATAGTGTTGCACACAATCAGGAACATTTCAGACATGGGTGTTGGAGGTATGAAGGCAACATACAACTTATACAAGGGGTATGCGCTGCATCACAAGTTTTTAAATTGGTGGAATATAAGCATCCATGGCTCCAAAACAATGCCTGGATATGCCCTGAACATAACCAAAGAAGCAGTGAAACCAAACCAAGCCACAAACAACTGGTAGTTAGCACAAGGCCAAACAAGGCAAAGTGAGGCTAACTGTTTGCTCACTTCCGATCAAGTGGATCGCCCGGAAACCTTCCCAACTTTCATTTCCGACTATGGTCGGAACCCAAAAAGTCCAGGCAGTCAGGGAGCGAGATGGAGTTGTCGGGTCCCCGGGCTACAAAGGCTAACCAGACCTGTTTGAAGAGAATCAGAGGGATACTTGGGTTTAGAATCATACTCTTGAGTGGGCTAACCATGTGGGAGCGTATTCCAACCATGAAACCTCATAATCATAACCATGTCAGTTCGCTGCAACTCGTGAATGCATAAACCCACAAACATCGACATATTCTGCTTAGCTAAGGTATATGGAAGCACAGGTTGCCTTGGTTCTTGAAGGCTCGCCCCCGGGCCCTCAAGGAACCTTCATCATGGGTCAGCTTGTGTCCTTTTCTAGAGTCAAATGGGTATGTGTCAAAGTAGGGAACCAGGGGAGGCTTCCCTTCAAGTTGCCCCTCAAACAGTTCCCCCTAAAATCACACAAAACAAGTGTTTGCACAGAGGAGCACATTTCTATCAGGGGGCCGCTTGGTTAGGAAGCGATTAAACCAAGAAGCCACCTGGCATGGCAGCGTCACTTGGCGCACCCAAGTGGGGCGCATTTTTTAAAAGGGTACCTACACTTTTGTTGTGGCTTGCATGGAAACCTGAAGGACAGCCAGCGTTTTGGGGCGTCCCCGACTGTGAACCCCGGAATAAAAAACAAGGTTTATTCATAGGGTGGCCCCCCTCCGAGCGGTCTAAGTCCAACCACTTCAAAGGGAGACACCCCCATCTCTCATCAACCACGGCTTCTCAAATGTGCCAACTCCTTTTTGAAAGTTGGCACCAACTTGTCTTGACGGCTTCTTCACGGGAAACACCTTTAATTAACGGGAATCCTCTTGCCATTTGGGGCCCTCCCCTTTTAGCGGAAACGGTTCCCGCCAAAAACCCACACGGACGGCACCTGAAGAGCCCGGCGCGATCCTCGAAGGCCTCCCCGCCGCCCTTGCCCTCGGCGCCTCGGAAGATTGACGAACCAGTTGGAGCTTTTTTGGAGATTGGATATCTTGGCATCGGATGAAATCAAGGAATGGACGTATACATACATATATATATATATCTTGGCATCGGATGAATTGCAGGAATGGATATATCTCGATTTTATGTTGACAAAATCGGATGATTGGAGCATGTCCAAGCCAAGATACAAACGCTTCGAGACATCCATCCCGGCTCTCCGGATTAAAACTCAGAAGTTGCTCTGAATTCGGAATGTCCAAAGCTAATGAGAAACTTGGCAAGTGACTAACAGAAAACCGGATCATCCAATATCCAAGGCTTCGAGCTACACGAAAAATCCTTCCGTATTTTATCTCCAGGTATTTTGTGATGGTTTCCTCTGGTTACCTGCGGCTTTCTTGGAATGGCCACCACAAAGACATCACGATCTCGATCCCAATGACCTCCGTCGGTCAGGTGCGGCAGGGAGTATCGATTCCACTTGTGGGGAACATCAAGGCACTATGTGTTGTAGTTTAAGGTTCCAACAAGGTTTGCCATAATATGTCTGGAAAGGGGCAATTGTAGGGGTACCTTCCCCATTCTTCCAGGAATCCTTCTTTTCAGGAAACCATCAAAAACCCAGGGAAACAGCGAACAGCGATCGGTTTTTGAACAGAGCCGTGGTTGAAAAGAATGGAAAAGGACTCAACCCCTAGAGAAACACGCGGCTTCTTTTGCGCGGCAATAAGTTGGGCTCCCGGCCGAGAGATTGCCCCAAAGCGAGAGCTTCCTGATACCGAGCCCGGTCCGCAGGCGTCCTGGGAACCAACTTCAGGCTTGGTCGGAACTTCCCGAAATTCTTTGCTTCCTCCAAAGAGCATGGGTGGCTCGTCGTCTTTTTCGGAATCGGGGACCCGAAATTGCACGACTATTGCTTTCCTCGTTACACCCTCAGACTACCCATAAAAAAAGGGAATTCACCCCATGATTTAGGGGCAATAACCAGTCTCATTCAATATTGAGGGCCCCAAACAAAAACAAACCAACCCCATGCTGTGTGATTAAACCGCCCCCTTGGTTGGCCCCCGTTCAAGGTGCCCTTGCCGCTACCAACCCCCCACAGAAACTAATACCTGGGATACCTGAGCTAACATCGCCACAAACAGAACAAACATCCTTCTGTGATACCGAACTGGTTGGCATCCACGTGACTAGTTCAACACTTCAAAACGTTCAGAAGGGTTTTCCTCAGTAAGTGGCTCTAAACCTTCGAATTCCACCACAATCGTGCCAGCTTACCATCTCAATCCAATCAAGTAGACTTATGATTCTAACACATTGCACTGACAATAGATCACCAACCCGAAGTAAAGGATCCAGAACCATTGTGACTGCATGTGCTCATGTATTTTGGTACCGCCGCGTCCTTTTGGTTGGTACTCCGTTTTTGGGATGTTTCAAAAAGGACTTCGAAGGGAGCCAATTTGGGGGCTTCCCTGATTAGACAAACCTGTCTACATTCGGCCGTTCGAGATCCAAACATGGCATTCCACCCTCCTCGAGTCCAGATCTGCGCACATCCAATCCTCAGCTCAAAGGGCGGGTCAAACTGCCAAATCTGCAAGCACGCGCGTTGTGCCCCGTAGACGACAGCCATCAAAAGGGGAGGCGCATGGGAAGGGTGCCACGAGTCACCATCATCATACTCTGAAAAAGAGCTCAAATGTCACATCACCCTTCGCTGGTGATGCCTGGGTGCAAAGGCGTCAACATCACCACCACCATGATCATCATCATCACCATCACCATCAGCAACACCATCATCATCATCATCATCATCATCATCATCATCATCATCATCATCATCATCACCATCATCATCATCATCATCATCATCATCATCATCACCATCATCATCATCACCATCACCATCACCATCACCATCACCATCACCATCACCACCATCACCATCACCATCACCATCACCATCACCATCACCATCACCATCACCATCATCATCATCCTCATCCAAATGTCACGTTAGGCCTCGCTGGTGATGCTGAGGGAGAGACGGAGTGATGTCTAGCACCAAGGAAAGGTGCGCTTGGCGGCAGCCCTGGAGCAACTGGCTACACCACCCTCAAGAATCTGGGTGACTTATAATATTTCACCAGCCTGAAATAAGGTGGTGGGGGGGCCATTCCCCACATAAACTTGACATAAACCACCATTTGGGGTGAGGTCGCGTGAGGTCGTTTTTTTTTTTCAACCAGAAGAATTAAGCTGAGAATGTGCCGTACCAGGGTTCAAACGGCAAGACTTCGAGCCAAATAAGGTGCATGCACGAGGGGTCTTTGAGGGCCGAGTACACTATCAACGCACTCGCTCAATGGGGGCATGAAGGGCATTTATGTGTGAACCAAACTCACAAAGTCCTGCGGCGAAGGGGCCTGCGTTTAAGCACTCAGAAGGGACCCATGTTGTCCAGACACATCTGAGAAAGATCATGAGATTGCAGCTCTGGGCAACAACTGCAAACTGCATTGACAAGCAACGTCTTGAAACAGAAACGACTAGTCGCTGCCGCTTTTGCTGGGGACCCACGCTGGCAAAGAAAACAGGCGGAAACGTCCGTCTCCTGGATCGCCATAGATGTCCTCGGGTTTTGATGCTCAACGTGCGTTCTTCTGAATATGCACGGGCGAGCTGTCACAATAATGAGGAAAGGGTGTGCCGTGGCGCGTCGGTCCCTGAAACGGGGGGTGCGCGCGCCGCGTCAAGTCAATAACTAATGTTAGACCTCCTTTATTAATGGTACCCTCTATTGTACAGTTTTTTCTAATTCAGGATCCTGTGACTGTTTTCGGGGTCCACTATTATGAAAAGTGTTTTTATCCCGGAGACAGCGCTGGAACAAATATGGGCAACAAAAACTTGGCAAACAAGTCGGGAAAAAAACGGGCAACAAAATCCTGGCAAACATTGGGAAATGCTTTTCTTGAAGTGGTCCCCAAACGAAAGCAAGATATACATAATTAAAGAAAGACAGGACAGACATGAATAAAGAAACAACCAAAAAGAAGAAAGGAAAGAAAAGGAAAGGAAAGGAAAGAAAAAGGAAATAATGGAAGAAAGAAAGGAAGCAAGACAGAAGGAACGAAAGAAATAAAGAAAGACAAAGAAAACAATAAAGCAAGACAGACGGTTAAAAAATAATGACAGTAAAGGAAAGACTGAAGAAATAAGCCACAATCAAGAAAGTGACAAAGAAAACTCCAGTTTTTATATTTTGAACCTTCCGCCCACCGGCTTCGCCGGCTCTACGGGTAAACCTATCCTACGGGGTGTTCTCCCCACTGACTCGAAGCAGAACCCGCCTATTCATTCGCCAGGGGGGTTATTCATCTGGAGTTCCCATTTGGCTGGGGCTCAAAAAAACGGTACCAAAATGGAACCCTGGTAGGTGGAAACATGGACCAAAACCTGCGTAACCCCTCCTGTTTAATTTTGAGCCACACCCATTTATTGCTTTGTGCACTTGTTCGACACCCTCCCCCCCAACAACAAGTCCCCCCCCCCACTTGTTGTTCCCCCAAACAACAACCGCCGCCGCCCCACTTGAACAACAAGTCCCCCTTACTTGTTGTTCGGCCCCCCGCCCAAACCAGCCGGTTCCCATTCACGGCTTTATCTTTTTGGAGGTGTTCATTTGGAGTCTGGTTTTGTCTGGTAACAAAGGGAACCACCTTGTTTTTTAGCTGACACTAGGAAGGAGAAGCTCCCATAGTGGCGAAATGCCTGGGTTCCACTTGGTGTGTTCAGGCTACGCAAAGGACCACCCTTTTCAATCCAAAAGGAACATGACGAAGGGTTACCTAAGCTGGGAACCACTGGGTGAGTTCCACTGGTTTATGACTGGTTGCCTGTGATACTTGTCAGCTGGGAAAACCACTGAAGATTTTGAAGAGACCCCCCCCCCTCACAAACCGCCCAAAAACAAGCGAACCCCATTCAAGGCTTTTAGAACGACTCTCAGACTTGTTGCTTCTGTTGGATGGTGAGGGAAGCTTTGGGGCCTTCTCCTTCTTTCCCCCTCCCCCCAATAAATCGCTGCGTCGAACAGACACTGTGCGCTATCGCAAAGGACAAAGGACAAAGGTGAGGGAAGCTGCAATTGAAGCCAAAGAGACCCCCCCACCCACTGGGCAAAAACCACTGGCTTGACCGGTTGGGATCAACATTGCCCTCCATTTGCGTTTTCGCCCCCTGGCCAAAAAAATCAAAAAAATACAGTAGTGATAGATTCCCTTTAAAACCAACAGGGGAACAAAAACAAACATTAATTTCTGCAAATGGAAGCAACCAGTCCAAGGAATTGGCTCCTGTGCTTTCTTTTAGCCCCAAACGCCCCCCCCCCCCCCCCCCCCCCCCCCCCCCCCCCCCCCCCCCCCCCACTGGGTACCACTGGCTCCACTGCTTCAATCGATCAACACGTCTCTTCGATCTGGGACCGTCCCGCCTCCACGGGCGGCGCAAAGGACGCCGCCGGAGCTGCAGGGCCTCCGCTTCCGAAAGCCGAAGACCCGACGAGGCGGGGGGGGGTGGGGTGAGGAGAGGCAATTTTCAGGGGAATTGCTTTTTTGTTTTGGTTTTTGAGGGTGTCGAGGTCTCAAACATCTGGGAGTTTTCAGGAAAATTGTTTTTTTTTGGTTTTTGAGGGTGTCGAGGTCTCAAACATCTGAGAGTTTTCAGGAAAATTGCTTTTTTTTGGTTTTTGAGGGTGTCGAGGTCTCAAACATCTGGGAGTTTTCAGGAAAATTGTTTTTTTGTTTTTGAGGGTGTCGAGGTCTCAAACATCTGGGAGTTTTCAGGAAAATTGCTTTTTTTTTGGTTTTTGAGGGTGTCGAGGTCTCAAACATTTGGGAGTTTTCAGGAAAATTGTTTTTTTTTTGGTTTTTGAGGGTGTCGAGGTCTCAAACATCTGGGAGTTTTCAGGAAAATTGCTTTTTTTTGGTTTTTGAGGGTGTCGAGGTCTCAAACATCTGAGAGTTTTCAGGAAAATTGCTTTTTTTTGGTTTTTGAGGGTGTCGAGGTCTCAAACATCTGGGAGTTTTCAGGAAAATTGTTTTTTTTGTTTTTGAGGGTGTCGAGGTCTCAAACATCTGGGAGTTTTCAGGAAAATTGCTTTTTTTTTGGTTTTTGAGGGTGTCGAGGTCTCAAACATTTGGGAGTTTTCAGGAAAATTGCTTGCTTGTTTTTTTTTGTTTTTGAGGGTGTCGAGGTCTCAAACATCTGGGAGTTTTCAGGGGAATTGCTTGTTGTTTTTTTTTAATGGTTTTTGAGGGTGTCGAGGTCTCAAAAATCTGGGAGTTTTCAGGGGAATTGCTTGGTTTTTTTTTTTTAATGGTTTTTGAGGGTGTCGAGGTCTCAAAAAATCTGGGAGTTTTCAGGGGAATTGCTTGGGTTTCTTGTTTAATGGTTTTTGAGGGTGTCGAGGTCTCAAAAATCTGGGAGTTTTGAGGGGAATCGCTTGTTTTTTTTTTTTGGTTTTTGAGGGTGTCGAGGTCTCAAACATCTGGGAGTTTTCAGGAAAATTGCTTTTTTTTTGGTTTTTGAGGGTGTCGAGGTCTCAAACATCTGGGAGTTTTCAGGAAAATTGTTTTTTTTTGGTTTTTGAGGGTGTCGAGGTCTCAAACATCTGGGAGGTTTCAGGAAAATTGCTTGCTTGTTTTTTTTTTGAGGGTGTCGAGGTCTCAAACATCTGGGAGTTTTCAGGAAAATTGCATTTTTTGTGTTTTTTTTAATGGTTTTTTGAGGGTGTCGAGGTCTCAAAAATCTGGGAGTTTTAAGGAAAATTGCTTGTTTGTTTTTTTTTGAGGGTGTCGAGGTCTCAAACATCTGGGAGTTTTCAGGAAAATTGCTTTGTTTTTTTATGGTTTTTGAGGGTGTCGAGGTCTCAAAAATCTGGGAGTTTTCAGGAAAATTGCTTGTTTGTTTTTTTTTGAGGGTGTCGAGGTCTCAAACATCTGGGAGTTTTCAGGAAAATTGCTTTTTTTTGTTTTTTTTTTATTTTATTTTTTTTTGATTTTTATTTTTTTAAATGGTTTTTGAGGGTGTCGAGGTCTCAAAAATCTAGGAGTTTTGAGGAAAATTGCTTGTTTTTTTTTTTTTGAGGGTGTCGAGGTCTCAAACATCTGGGAGTTTTCAGGAAAATTGCTTTGTTTTTTGATGGTTTTTGAGGGTGTCGAGGTCTCAAAAATCTGGGAGTTTTCAGGAAAATTGTTTGTTTGTTTTTTTTGAGGGTGTCGAGGTCTCAAACATCTGGGAGTTTTCAGGAAAATTGCTTGTTTGTTTTTTTGAGGGTGTCGAGGTCTCAAACATCTGGGAGTTTTCAGGGGAATTGCTTGTTTTTTTTTTTTAATGGTTTTTGAGGGTGTCGAGGTCTCAAAAATCTGGGAGTTTTCAGGGGAATTGCTTGGGTTTTTTTTAATGGTTTTTGAGGGTGTCGAGGTCTCAAAAATCTGGGAGTTTTCAGGAATTGCTTGGTTTTTTTTTAATGGTTTTTGAGGGTGTCGAGGTCTCAAAAATCTGGGAGTTTTCAGGGGAATTGCTTGTTTTTTTTTTATGGTTTTTGAGGGTGTCGAGGTCTCAAAAATCTGGGGTTTTCAGGGGAATTGCTTGTTTTTTTTT